TAAAAGGATGACATGAGAGATCCTTGTGATCTTGAAAATATTCTGTATTGGCTACAGCATTATGACATTGCACTATAATTTGGAAGATGTTACCATAGGGGGAAACTGGGTATATGGCACTTAGAATCTCTCTGTAACATTTATTACAACTACATGTAAATCTACAGTGACATCAAAATAAAAGAGTTAGTTAAAATAATATAGAAAAATAACGTGATTTTTGGTGGGAAATATGTGTTCAAAAGTCTATCATTTTTTATTAGTTTACCCATTTTGTTACCACTTATTACCTTAACCACATTTGCAGTTACTGAGACATGTTTGTTTTTATACTAGTTAATATTTATAAAAAGGGTAGTAGAGATAACTTTTTTTTTCATAGTTGTGAATGTGTGCATCTGCATCCATGACTAAAGTTCATATTTCTATTATGAGTAAATATTTATTGATATGGGTATGTATTTTCATATGCCTCTATAGTTGTGTTTATCTATGTGGGTGGTAGTGGGTTGGGTGCTTTGTACATTTGTGCGAGAAGGCATAGACTCTGTCAAGAGTTGTCAAACAAAATTCTGATGGTTCTATTCAGTCATTCACTAATTAAATCAACACTCTGAGCACCTAGTCTGTTCTAGGCTCTGGTAGTATAGAGAAGAATAATATAGGGTCCTTGCTTTAAGGGATTTCCACTCTTTGGGGTGCAGTACAGTGTGCTGAGTGCCATGATAGGGCAAAATGTAGTGTGAGTGCCATGATAGGGCAAAGGCAGCATATATAATCAGATTGGGTATGGCAGTGTTCAGAAAAAGCTTCCTAAAAGGTATGATGACTGACTTGAGTCTTGAAATTTGAATGATTGTGTATGTTTCAGAGGTACAACAAGAAGGGGACTGGCAGTGGATACCAGCAAGGGGTCTTCAAGGTGTGAGGGGTGTGCAAGCACCTCTGAGAGTATACAAGGTGATACATTGGGGTAAGGAATTTTTTTTTCTAAATCCTATCCTTCAATTTATTTCTTTGTATAGAATGTGCCTTTTATATTAGTCTAGTGGCATACAATCTTAATATTTGTATTAGCACAATAGAATATAGTCTCTAAATAGATAAATACCAATATATTAGACAGCACGCTAATTATTTTAAATATGTTGAGATTCGGAGACCACTGTTTTAGGAAATTGCAAGTAGTTTGGTATAGTTGGAGAAAAGGAAGTGTCTGTGAAAAAGTGGCAGGAGGTAAATCCAAGAGAGCCAGCAATTACCATGCCTTTACAGATTCTATGGTAGAATCTATCTGCACAGTAGAAAAACCTCTCTGCAAAAAAAGAAATTACAAAAAGAGAGATAATATAGGTAAATTTGTAATTGACAAACAGTTGAGAAAAGACACTAAAAATATCAGTGAGTGTATTTACAAAAGGAAAGTTTGGTAGACTTGTTTACATAAACATTTTAAATGTCTATATTTAAACATAACTTTTAATGATTTAAAAAGTAAACGACTTGACTGGAGAAATATTATGAACATATAAGGAATATACAGACAAGGTTAATACCCTTACTATATTAAGAACTTAAAAATTAGTTTTTTAAAAAGATAAAAACTCAACAAAAAAGTGGGTGGTAGACATGATCAGGCAATTTACAATAAAAGAGACACATATGACCCATAATTATATAAGAAGGTGTTCATTATTACTCTAAATCAAATAAACATAAGTTTAAACAACATTGAAAATTAATTTTTCACCTATAAAATTGGTAAAGAAGATAACACCCAGTTTCATGAGGGTATGAAAGACAGACCAAATACCTATAGTATAAAGGCCATAAATTATTTTACTAGTAAAAATAAAATTTAAGTGTAGTGAAAGATATTGAAAGCGGATATATTGAAGGCAGCATAACACGAGTCAGGAAACTAGTACATAATTTAGGTAGCAGTAGTGGGAACGGAGAATAGAAAACAAGCTGCAGACACACTGAGGACCTACGATCTATTGTGTTAACTGAAGTTTGGGAAAGAGTCAAGGATAACTCCTGAGTCACCACCTTTGATTGCTAAATGGATAGTGAAGTTGCATAAATCCTCCCTGACTTTAATAGGGAGATTACACACATGCACCCACACCCACGCCCCCACACACGATCACACAGTATTTCTCTTTCTTTTCCTTTTTTCCCCTCTTTGGGACAAAAGGCAAATTCTCCCATCTCTTTTCCTTTTACTCAGACTGTGTCCGTTTTTTTGCCCAATACAAATGAATATAAAGCACTATAATGTGCTAGGAAGCACTGTCAGAGCTTAACATACATATCAGATTTAATCTTCATAGAATCATGAGGTAGCTGTTATCCTACTTTACAGATGAAGAAACACATGCAGAAGAATTAAGTGATTTGTACAAGGACAAAAACATAATGAGTGGTGAATCTAGGATTTGAATTGAGGTCTGTCCGATCAGTGCCTGTAGGGAAAATATAGGAAAATGGTCAGGGCCCCTCAGATGTACAGAATCTTGCCAAGCATTTGATGTAAATGTGTACGTGCACCCAGGTGTTCCTTGGCTATTGTCTAATGTAATTGCGTATGTGCACCCAGGTGTCCTGGGTTATGGACTTAAGTATAAAGGACAAGTGGCTCTGATCCAGGGGGCCCTTGCCCCCGGGATGCCCCCAGGGGGGGCATGGGGAGGCCGCTACTGCTGCTGGAGGCTGTTGCTGCAACCTGTTGCTGCCAGTGCCCCCAGGATACCCCAAGAAGACAGCCACCGCTGCTGCCACTGGATCTGCTGTAAGCTGCTGCCATTGCTGAGGAAGCTGAGGACTAAGCTTGTGTCATCTGCCAACTGCTCCCGGGATCTTTCCCAATTACCTAGCGTGGACCTGTGTGTGATGAGTCTGGTGACCCAGCCAGGCATGTGAGGGGTCTGGTGACCCAGTCTGTACAATGGGTTTGAAGGGTCTGAGCCCTAGCCCTGACAATACAAATGGAAGCTTAGTATAACTAAAATAATGAAACATTTTGGCTTTAGCTATGAATTGCCTTACCCTACAATTGGCGTAGTCATGTAGCTTTACAGTGCCCAACCAGTGGGCATTCTTTGTACCATAGACTAACATATTGGTAATTTACAATCTAGATAAAGTAACTAAAGTTAGGAAAAGGAAAGGATTTCACTTTGACAAAGAATCTCTAATAAGTTTCACTCAGCTACAGATTTTGCTCAAAACTATAATGATGCCTAGATTACGACAACCTACTTTATCATTTGTGTTTACTGTATCTGTCAGATGTGCCTATCATGATTAACCTGCATTCTACCTCATGACTCCCAATTAGGCTAGAAGTGCTGTGATGACACCTTCAGTATCCACACCTGTTTTGCAGTTGAAAACACAGTGCCTAGGATGATATTTCCATTTTAACTCCCCAAGGCCTTACGTGCCAAGCATGAGTCTTTTCTTCAACACTTATTCTTTCAAAAACTCATACCTGCAACCTACAAACTTGTATTCACTGCATGCCAAGCCCTATGTTGAGTTCCGGCACTACAAAAAGGAATTAGAATAACCCTGTTCTTCAAGAAATTCACATCTTGATGGAGAGTAGACACAGAAAACTAACACATAAATAGAGGGTAAGTGCTATGATATTGTAAACCAATGACATGTAGGTTACAAAAAAAGGGGCATCAAACCCAGTTGAGAGTTCAGGGAAGACCACTTGGAGGAGGTGGTACTTGTCCAGAGCCAGATAAAGAGGTTGGGAAAGCACGTGGAAAAATGTGGTTGGGAGAGATACCTTTCAGATAGTTCAGTTTGGCAGAATGCATGTGAGGTATGGAAAGGGCTAGGGATGAGGTACATAGTTTTTCAGATACCAATTATGAGGCCTTTGAATGCCAGAAAAAGTAGATTGGACTTGAACCTGAGAAAAATGGAGAGTCACTGCAGAGTCATTGGCAGGAAAGCAACATGGTCAGATTTGTGTATTTAAAAAGATCACCTTATAAATAAAGTCAAGGTAATCAGCTAGTTTACTTGTAGACCTTCATGTAAGTGTCAGTGAGACGTGAATGAGGCAGAGTTGAGAGGGAAAGGCATTGGTTAGACTTGGTGATTATTCATTAGGATGAAAGAGAAAGAACCTGAGATGATTATCAGATTTTTGGCATGATTGAGAGGGTGGATGAAAATGCCACTTGTGAACCTGGAAGAGCAGCAGGTTTGGAGAAAAACTGATGAGGTTTAGACATTTTGAATTTGAAGGATCTGTGATGAATTTGAAGGATTTGAAGGATGTGGAGTTGTCAAAAAGACATTGGATTTCAAGTGTCCAGAAATTAGGAGGGAGATATGGGCTGGAGATTTAAAATTCATCAGTAATACCTGTCTGTGATCTTATAAAGAATAAATAATGTGGATATGGATAGTATATATATGCTTATCATTTAGTTGTTTGTTGAGCATACTCAATATTTACATACAAAGCTATGCTTACAACACTTTTTTCACAGGTAAAACTGAAATAAATTATAACTACCACTTATACTATTTGCCATGAGTTGTGCTAAGTATTTTGATTTATTGTCTAGTGCTTACCATAACTCTTTGATGTAGGAGTAACTATCCCCATTTTTCATATGAGCAAACTGAGTATGAGATACAGTGTAAATTAGACAAGGCCATACAGTGGCAGAGCTGGGGAACTCCAAAGCCAGTCCCTTCTTTTCTGTCGCTTCCTTTGTTGGGTTACACAGGCACTAACAGCGGGTTCCATTGCACACATGCAGCTTCTGGTAAGGATTCAGCTCCGCCCCATGTCTGGCCAGGAGCCCAGCAGGTGATGGCAAACAAGTTCCTGTGGAATTGTGAGTAGATACCGGTCTTGTAAACTAAGGCACTCCTAAGTCACCTCCTTGCTTAGTCTTTTCTCGTCCTTTGCCCAGGGTGCGCGCAACCCTGAAGCACTAGGACCTTACGGAATCCAGGAAGCTATGGCACCTCTGTTTACAGCCGGCATCCGGTTGCTGCTCTTGCGGGCGGTAGGCTTTCTCATCGGCCTAATAGGACGAGCGGCTAGAGCTTTAGGAGGCCCAAAGTTTGGCTCCAGGACCACCCGGCCGGTGACCGAACCACTGCTCCTGCTTTCTGGGGTGCAGCTGGCCAAACTGATCCGACAAAGGAAGGTGAGGATGCAACGCGGACTGATTCAGAAAACGGTGGAGCGACAGGTTTTTTGTGGGCGACTCCAGGAAGCTTAGTACTGGTGCTGGTGGTTGTGGTTAAATGATTGAGTTTGGTGGAAATCTATTTCCTTTCCATCCTCTACTAGGGCGACATAGGAGAGGCATTCATTGGGGATGAAAGGAGACTTCTGGGAGTTGTAGTGTGCTTATTTATATACAGAGCATTTGCTGTGGGCATTGGTTGGACTATTTTTGCACCCTTCATAGTCCTTCCTGTCTTTGTCCTGTTTGTGCGTAATAATTGTGCGCGGCTAAATCAAGCGCAGTTTTTAAACTGATTCCCAGCCATGGAAAGTCTCTCTTTCTCTCTCCCTCTGTCACCGGCCCCCAAATCTATATCTACTTGCTGCTTTCTGTCCAAGGGATTTTTATTTATTTAAGAAAAGTAGTTTATGGTCTAGAAAAATAATAGCTGTGGTTGCCATATATTTAGTGCATAGTACATGTGAAATACCGTGCTGGGTACATAAACATATTCTGTCTCACTGATGCAGTTATATAGGTAATATCCCCATTTTACACATGAGGAAACTTAGGTAAGATGATTTGCACAAATACACAAAAATTGTTGGAAAGAATTCAAAGATTTAAGCGGCTGAAACAATTGTTCTCTCTCGAGTGGTGCAGGCAGGACTATCCATCTCTTTGTCATATGAATGGTTGGTTTCCTGGCCATCTTGGGCTATAATCTGGTATTCTTTCTTTATTCCTCTCTTGTTTTTATCTTTCTGTTGTTTCATCTGTTTTTCCTCATTGTTTTATTTCCAGAATCTAGAATACTACTTGGCATTGCAGTAAATACTTTCTGAGTATCTGAGTATGCCTTCCTGAATGCATGAATGAATAATGCTTTTTTTCACACTCCTGGTTACCTTTCAGTGACTTGGCCTGCCTTTTTCCTGTACCCTCTCCCCATCCTCACTTCCTATGCATGTTTCTGCTAATAGGGAGAAAGTGGGATGTAGTGGAAAGATAATAGATTTCAAATTTTGGCCTGTCTCTTCATAGCTGTGTGACGACGCTAGGCAAGGATTGCCATGGCAATTGCAGATAATGCATATTAAGCACCTGGCACATATTAGGCTGTGTAGTACAGTGATTAGAAGAATGTACTCTGGAGCCAGAATGCCTGAGTTCAGAAATCCTAGCTTTCGTACTATTTAGCTGTTTGATCTTGAAAACAATGCTTAACCTTTTGTGCCTCTGCTATCCTGTGAGAAAAATGGACTTCGTAATAGAGTCTACCTTATAGAGTTGTTGTGAGGATTAAATGAGTTCATATGTGTAAAGTGTGTAAAACACTACCTGGCATAATAGTCCTATATAAGTCTTAGCTATTAGTACTATCATCAGGTTTTTGGTAATGATAGCCGTTGTTAACATGTTCATGTTTGCCTGTGAAAGATTATCTAAATATAGTTTGCATAAAAGTGTTTTGAAGGGGAGAAGTGGAGAGGATACAAAGTCTTATTTAGACTAATATTTCTTTAGTTTCTCCAAGGTTCTTCTGCCTCCCACAATTGATATATATAACCTCTGCCATTAATTTTAATTATGTATTGTTTTATACTTCCTTTCTCTAGAGCAGTGGTTTTCAACCGGGGGCAGTTTTGGCACCCAGGGGACATGTGACAATGTCTTAGGATATTTTTGGTTGTAGCAATTGGGTAAAAGTGCTACTTGGATCTAGTGGGTAGAGGCCAGGGAACCTGCTAAACGTACTACAATGCACAGAACAGCCCTCTCCATAACAAAGAATTATCTGGTTTAAAATGTCAGTAGTGTCAAGGTTGAGAAATCCTGCTCTAGAGCACTGAGTATTTGAGAAATCTGTTTTTTTCCAGTCTCATTGCTAAGGCCTAGAAGGAAGCCATTAAAAAAGAAAATTGTGATTTGAGCTATTCCTTAGGTAAGACTGAGTCAGTCCCAGTTTAATTTTTGGTCAAGTCGAGGGCTCTAGATAGAATAATCACTGTTACCATTTATAGAGTGTCTACTGTATACTAGGAACTTTGCATATTTTTTCTCCAGTTCTCCTATTAAATGCAAGAAATTACTCAAAGATCAAGATGGAAGAGTAACTATAAGGGAATTGATACTATTGCCTATTTAAAGAATATTAACTCCAATAGGCTCTATATATGTACTCAGTTCAGTGTTAGCCAAATGCATTTGGATGGATCTTTTGGTGGGTAAACCCTGTACACCAGGTGAAGGCAAATTCTGAAGTACTGATATCTTCAGTTTGCCTTAAGACTTTCTTCAGAAAAGTCAAATATTTTCCTGTCTCATTTCCCCCAACTTGCTATCAGGATAGCACCTGTGTTCCTTAGTCTTTATCGTATTGTTGCAGACCTGAAAAGGCATTTGTTACTAGTTTTCCTTAGTCACTGTTTTCCTTATCCCTCTGAAGGTGAAAGATTTGCATTTTATCTTCCTCTTAAGGGTCAGGACTTGGGTAAGTGACTTACCCTCTATGAACAGCATGTGCTTCCTTACATGTAAAATGGGATAAAATAGTACCTACTTCATAAAGTTGTCAAGGTACTTAAATGGGATAGTACCTATATAACAGCACATGCTAAATAAAAATTAACTAATATCATATGCTTTAGTCTTATCTTTCAGTAGGAAACAAGAAAATACAATCATGGATGCTAGTTTTTACTGGTGGATTTTTGTTGCATCTCTTGGCACTTCCCACTTTCCCTTGGTTTTATCAAACCCATTTTCATGAACAGTATTCACACAGATGCCTACAAATACACATGACGCACACACACACTTATAACTTAATTTTGATGCAGTGAACCAGTCAATAGTTTACAAGTATCATGGAAAACTGTTAAATGAGAAAAAAAACTGTGATATACTTCTTGTTTCTTTTAAAAATTTTATTTATTTCTGGGCTAGCCGATTAGCTCAGTTGGTTAGAGCATGGTGTTGATAATGACAAGGTCAAGGGTTCAGATCTGTAAAGTCCAGCTGCCAAAAAATTTTTATTTATTTTGTTTACAGATTAAGAGTGTGGGCTTCAAAAAGTTTAAAATGTGTTGTTTTAGATCTTATGGATAGTATATAGCTCTTGCTTCTCCCAATGAGGCTTATTTACTTTGATATATCATATGTAAATGTACTGATAACATTATCTACTTTACAGGATTGGTGTGAGGATTAAATGAGCTCATGTACATAAAGCTCTTAAAATAATGCCTGGCATAACAGCACTATATAAGTGTTGGCTATTATTACTATCAGGTGCATTATTAATATGTTCATGCTTGCCAGTGAGAAAAGATTATCTAAATATAGATTATCTAGATATATAAAAATGTTCTAAAAGGGAGAAGTGGGGAGGATACAAAGTCTCATTTGTACTAGTTCTCCTTTAGTCCCTTACACATGAAAATGTTCTTACTGGAAAACAACTAACTTTTATTAAGCACCTACCATGTGCCACTTGATAAGGCAAATGTTATACTCAGATTTTTGTAAATTGAATCCTCATAACCTTTTGAGGTAGTTATTATCATCATATTACAGATGAGGAAAACAGTTTATAGCTGTCTAATAATTTGTTCAATGCCACACAGCTGGGAAGTGGTAGAGCTAGGTCAGTCTGTTTCCGATTTTTTGGCACTTAATGAAGGAGTAATGCTTCTTGATAACCAGCTCTCTGATTGAACAGTCAGCTTCCTGTGAGTCAGTGTCTACTGTTTTTATGCTTGATTTTGAATCCCTGTATGATCACTCTTTCATCTGAACTGCCACAGACTTAGTTGGCCTCCAAAACTGGGCCTTAAAAAAGAACATCAACTTGTCATGTTCACCACCATCCATAGCCTGGTCATTGTCTTTGCACATTTGAAAGTTTAATTTTGTTGGTGATCCCAAAGTTGATGATGTTTTGAAGACATAAGGCTCACTCACAAATTACCTAATGACATGTATATGAGGATATCCTCACATATTGTTTGAAAAAGCAAATGCTTGTAAAGGCAAATCAAGTTCCTGATTAAATATGGTATAGTAGGTGTACACATTCAATATTAAACATCAAATAAAAGAGTGAGGTGGTTCTTTTTGCACAAGATATGGAATGAGTCCCAAGATATATTTTGAATGAAAATAAAATGCAGAATAATTTGTATAATATGCTATCATTTGTATGAAAAATAATGACTTTTGTCTGTCTTTTCTGTCTCTCTAGTCATCTTTCCATCTATCCATCTATCTATCTGTTGTCTAGCTATCTATTATCTATCTATCATCTGTTTATCTATATGTCTCTGGAAAGCACAAAAAACTCAAAACAGTAGTTGACTCTGGGGAGGCAAACTTGGAGGGAATGTTAGAAGACTGGGGTAGAAAGGACTTTTATTGTATGATCTCATTTACTTTTAGATTTTGAAACGTGTGCTCATGTTACATATTTATAATACATATAATCAATACTTAATGAAAAAAATTAGAAAAAATAATTTTTACTTTTTAGATAACTAATAAAAATATCACTAGTTTCTCCTTTAGTCTGTTCCTACAAGGGAATATGGTGCAGCTATTATGTAAATAGTTCTGAATTATGTTAAATGGTAAAAAAAAAAAAGGCACAGAACAATGAATGTAATATAATTTCTTTTGCATGAGGGAAGGGGAGAGCTAAAGAGAGAAAAGAAAGGAGAAGGGAGAGAGGGTGGGGGGAGGGGGAGAGAAAGGAAAACCTTTCACATTTCATTTGTATTATTCTGTAGTGAATGAATTCTCTAATCATGTACATATTCTTCATTTCTGTTATGACAGCAGGGTTCATTTGAAAAAAGCAAGCACAAATATCCAGGCTCAGCCATGTCACCTTGGTTAAGTCACTTAACCTAAGTGAGCCTCAATGGCTTCATCTGTGAAATGGGGACAATATTACATGTGTTGCTAGGAGGATTTAATAAATAAAAAGAATATTCTTAGGCTGTCCGGTTAGCTCAGTTGGTTAGAGCACAGCTGTGTAACACCAAGGTCAAGTGTTCAGTTCCCTGTACCGGCCAGCTGCCAAAAAAAAAAAAAAAAACTTTCTTGATGGAATAAAAGTTCTCTGTCTGTGTGTATTTGAGCATGTTGGCTATATTATTAAATTATTGGATATATCTTTATTTTTGACTACGTGGTCTGTCAGTTTCTGAGAGAGCTATATTGTCTATTACTATACTTGTATTTCTGTTCATGTTCTATTAGTATTCCTAGGAGTTTATGCTTTATGTATTTCCTGATTTTTTATTACAAAAAGTATATGACTGTTATAGCATCCTCATGGGTTGTACCATTCATGTTTTAGTTTTGAAATTCACTTTATTTTCTTTAATGTTAATGGTACCATTCCTGCTTTCTTATTGTTTATATAGTATATCTTTACCTAACCTTTAGTTTTCAATCTTCATGGTCTCTTTATTCCAGGTGTTTCTTAAAAACAACATATAGAAGAACTTTGGGGTTTTTATAATAACAAAATTTAATGTTCTTTGCTGTTTGGCAGAAGAATTTAGTCCTTCACACTCTGATGTAATTGATTTAATTCTTTCCATTTGATATAGTGTTTATAATTTATCATAATTGCTTTCTCTTTCCCTTTTCTTATTCTTTTTTGGTCTTTAATTTTTTTAAATTTATTTTTCTCTGTTTGGGGGTTCTACTTTGTTTTGTAATTTTCTAATGCTTGTTGTTTCATGTCTAAGAATTATCATTAAAAGTACAATTACATGTAATTATTAACTAGTAGTCTTACAGCACCCCAGAATGTTTTACTTGTATTATACCTCTTCACATGTCTGATTTAAGACCCTTGGTGAAGGGATGCCAAATTTAGCTAATAAAAATACAATGCACCTGGTATAAATTTGAATTTCAGTTAAACAACATAGAGTTTTTAGTATAATTATTCCCATGCAATAATTGGGACATACTAAAAATCACTGGCTATTCATCTGAAATTAAAATTTAACTTGATGTCCTGTATTTTATCTGGAAACCGTACCTTAATGTGCTTTTATGTCTTCAGTCCCCCAACTCCTGGATTTTGCAGAGATGATGTATAATGTTAAGATTGGGGGTATTATTATAAAAATTGTATTTATTACTATGCTGGTTATTTACTAGAACAATATATTTGTTAGTTGAGTATATATACATAATATCTTTAACTCCAATTTCTGTTTACTTAGAGGGGAGTTTATGCCTTTTATCTGTACTCATTGTTTGGAATATATTCCTGACTTCTTAGCTTCAAAGTAGACATCTTTTACCCCCTCAGCCTCATTTATTGCCTCATGGGGGATTGCACTGAATAATTCACTGAAGATGTCTCTAAATAATAAAAAGTGATTAATGCACATAGGGAGCTTTCAATAAATACTCATTGGTTAGATGAATTGTTCAATGCCCAAATTATTGTATTTTGCAGGTGAAATGTACTGATGTTGTTCAGGCTTATATCAACAGAATCAAGGATGTGAATCCAATGATCAATGGAATTGTCAAGTACAGGTGAGCAGTTTCATGCTCTCAAGGAGTTTTTTCTGATGGTTTTTGTTCTAAGGTGCCATGCTACCTCAGTATATTTCCTGGATTTCTCCTACTCTATGTCCTTTCTTTGATTTCTCACTGGGACCGGCCCTGACTTCTAATTCATAACTTTCTGCCCTTTGTTGAGCTTTTATGTTTATGTGTCTCCCCCTCACCCCGGTGAATGTAAGATCCTTGATGGCAAAGACTAAATTTCATTGGTTTTGCATATCAAACATCCAGAACAAGGCCTGAAACTTGATAGGCATCATTAAATGCTTATTGGGTTAATTAATATTTGGTAGTGACTCCAACAGGAGAATTGCCCCCCACACATACTTTCCAATGTAGATTTAGTATAGTAGGTGATATTTTATATAGGTATCATATGTGTGACTTCTGTATGTCAGTTGCTAAGTAAACCTTTCCAGGCAGCCATGAGGTATTAGAGGGCCAAAACTTGGATTACTTTTTCTGTGATGTTCTACCCAGTGACTAGCACAATTCATAGCATATCATGACACAGGGTGGCATTTTGCATATCTCAATCATTAACCACATTTTGGAATTTTCCTGTTTGCACATCAATTCTGTTGTTGTTAATTAATATACTTATTTTAACTTAAACCAATCATTTTGTGTGTGTGTGTGTGTGTGTGTGTGTGTGTGTGTGTGTGTGTGTGACCGGTAAGGGGATCGCAACCCTTGGCTTGGTGTCGCCCGCACCGCGCTCAGCCAGTGAGTGCACCGGCCATGCCTATATAGGATCCGAACCCGCGCCGCTGCGCTCCCAGCGCCACACTCTCCCGAGTGAGCCATGGGGCCGGCCCTTAAACCAATCATTTTAAATGAAACTTTATATCACTACAAACATTGAAAACATTAAATATCACTTAATGTAGGCAGTGTTATTAGTCAGGGTTCTCCAGAGAGACAGAATCAATAGAATATGTTACAAATATACGAGAGGGATTTATTAGGGGAATTAGCTCCCGTGATTATGAAAAGTCCTACGATAGGCCATCTGCAAACTGGATGCTGGTAGCATGGCTTAGTCCAATACTGAAGGCCTCAAAACCAGGGAAGCTGATGGTGTCCCTGTAAGTCCTGGAACCCAAAAGCTGAAGAGTCTCGAGCTCTGATGTCCATGAATAGGAAAAAAGAGTATATCCCAGCTCCAGCAGATATATAGAGAGAGATTCACCTTTTTTCTCTGTCTTTTGTTCTCTTCTGGCCCTCAGCAGATTAGATGGTTCCTGCCCACATGACAGTGGGTCTTTTCCACCCAATCCACTCAGGTTCTCATACTAATCTCTGCTGGAAACACCCTCATGAACACACCTAAAAAGATAGCTTTATCAGGTTTCTTGGCATTCCTTAATCGAGTTGACACCTAGAATTAACCTTCATAGACAGTTATTGTTAATGTAAATAAAATGAAACATAACCAGTGCAAGGTCACTGAGGAAGGAGATGCTAGCTGGGCAAAGGATGTAAAAAATGATTTTATTAGCAAGGGGCAAGCAGACTTGCCTGGCTGAGCCGAAAAATGGCATCAGCACTGAGAGGCAGTTGGGTGTCTTCTTTTAGAGGGTTAAGATTAACATCTGGCCTAACTGAGGGAAATGTTTACAATGTTCTACTCCTGGTACAGCCTGTTCAGCCTGCTCATAGGACTTAGACAATCAGAAATTTAGAGAAATGAAACTTAGAGAAATGAAACTGAAGGACAGGGACTTTCTAAAAGTCAGGCTCTCAGTTCCAGGGACCCAACATTCCTCCCTTTTTTTGTTTTTGTTGTTGGAGGGGGTGATGATTCTCCTCTCTTCTTGTAACTACTTTCTGCTGTACAGGGGCATCATGATTATGGGGTGGGGGTAGGAGGAAGTGAGTAGGGTCTTGGTAGGTTTTTGAGGTACTGATAGTCCCATTGCAGAAGAAGCATCTTATGTACCATGTGGTTGGTGAATGCCTGTAGCTGGTCCTGGACAAAGTTTGAAAGAAGCTTAAGTAAACATGAGCCAAGAGCTAAAATAACAAAAAGGGCAAGTAAGGGGGTAAGAAATGGAAGAACCCATTGCATGAACAAAGAAGCAAAGAGAGATGTACTTGTTCTGTCCAGGAGTCAGGTTGCCCTATCCTTCAGTCATGCTGTCCCATCCCAAACCAAACCAGACTTATTGGTATAGAAACAGCATTCCTCCTGGAGAAGAGCACAAGTCCCCACTCCAGGCTGCTGTGAGGAGGTCCAACTCTGTGGATTTTTAGGACTACTGCTGCCGGGGAGTCATCCTGATCTTGGAGATTATCTAGTTGATCCAAAATTTCTTTTAGGCTGCATGGTCATGCAGAGGAATCAGGAGAATTGTTACAGAAGTATAGGACCTATGGATAGCAGAAGAAAATTATTACAAAGGGAATTAGGATGGGGAGCAAAATGGGTAATAGCCATTTGCCCTTAGACCATTCAATTGGCAGAGTTTTTAGGTTTGTAGCCTTTTCAGGAGTATTTTGGATATTTTCTTGGACTTTGCCAGACTGGTTAATGTAGAAACAACAGCTTTCTTTAAGGCATAAGCATGTGCTACCTTCTGCAGCAGTAAATAGGTCTAAGGTCCTCCTATTCTATAGGACCACCTCTGCCAGTGAGTCTAGCTGATGTAGGATTTTTAGAGTATCTCTAGTTGTTTGTAATATCTTATCTATCTGTTGGGACGGTCTGTGTTGTAGCCCAATTGACACTCCACCAGTGATGGCCCCAGAGGTTCCTGTTAGTCATGCTAGGAAAAGGCCTAGTGGTACTAAGGGAACAGCTGTTTTATGGAGTTTACTTCAAGCCCTCGTGGGAAAGGGGAGGCTTGTATTATCCCAAGCTATGGTGATGTCAGGAGTGATATAGCGCAGTGAACATGTGCCCACCTAACTGGGAGGATTTGATGTTCACAAATCCAAAAAAACTCCCAGTGTTGGTGGCAAGTAGGCACCAATATTGTTGAGATGAATTATTGGGGATTTGTTTCCTGGGAGGCATGGGGATCTTGTCTTGCCATTCTCTCTTTGGGTCTGTTTGTTGAATAAGGAGTTCCACCTCTGTTAAATTTAGTGTCTAGGATATGAAAACCTTGGGCTGCAAATGAAGCCACTAGAAGAGGTTCAATAGCAGTAAAAAGTGGAAGTAAAAAGGGATCCTTTAAAAATCATAGTATCTAAGGGTGAGTAATTTTTTACTTCCAGCCATTGGGTTATTTGAGTTGGCAAGAAGTTCCTGAAGTCCACTTGTAGGTAGCAGTCCCAAAGAAAAGATAGAAGTGCGCCCTTGGAGGCTGTGACTCTGGATGTGTTTGTAAGGAGAGATAGATTTAAATCATAGAAATCCCCTGGAGCTGACATAGGCATCAGCCAGGAGTGGCTCATGACTGGGCATATGCTGGCTGGAGTAGCTGGCTTCTATGGTTCTGGATTTTGACTTCTCCATGGGTTCTTTAGGTATCCTCATCAGCCTTTTTTTAACTCTGGGGTCAGTCTTGATGATGGTCGTGGTGAGGGCCTCTGAGCCCAGGCAGTGTGTAGTAGGGGCCAGTGGTGGCTCCAAGGGGTTGATATCCTTGTGCCATCACCATTTTGATGTGGAACTGTTGTAGACTGGAAGATACAAGCTTTACTAACAAATTAAAAGACAGGGCTAGAATCTAATAACAGATATACTAATTGTTTCCTTCTGAAACATATTTTTTTCTCTCCAAGTTTTCCAATTTTACGAAAGATATTTATGACAAGAGTAATTTATTTGCAAATTAAGTTTAGTTTTTGGTCAGTTTATTTGTATAAAGTGCAGCAAGAATAATAGTTTATCATATAAACTCTTTTTGAGTTGGCTTTGCTGAGATTTTTACAAGGAATCTCAGGTAAGACCTTTAAAAGCCTCTCAGGTCTTAGGAAGCCAAGCCAAGGATTTGACTTACTCTGTGATTACCTGTACAGGTTGGGTTGGGTGAATTCCTCTCTTCTGGAAGTCCTGGCCTGTCAGAAAGTTACATTCTTTACTTATCGCAAGGCCAGGAACCTTGTAATCATGTAGACAAGGTATCGGGCCAGTCTTTCCAAAGGGCTTTTTATTGGCCCCATGAAAAGGTAAACCTCATTTCCTTAAGGCAATTTGGTCATATCTGAAAATGTGGCATTCCAGTCAAAGCCTTGGTAAAATAACCAGTATGTACAATTGTGTACTGTTACAAGAACAGATTCTTATTGAACTTATGCAAATAACTATATTGCCATAAAATAACAATACTCATGAATAGTTTTAAAATCCTGGAGGGATCAGGTAGAGAGAAAAGTAAATGTCTCAATTTTTGCTCATAAATGTATACTTCAACAAGCCGTTATACCTTAAAGATTTTCTTAAATCTCAAAAACAAAATATTAAAAGAACCAGCAATGTTTCAAAATAAAGAAATTGTAAAACACCCATAATTTTTTATCAGTTAACTTGGTTTTATGTAATTATCTTTTGTTCTTTTGACCTTGTTTAGCAATTTTATAAACCCATCAGTTTTTTTCATTAGAATTTTGGAAATTTAGTCCAAGAGTCATGAACTTGTATCTGTTAGCTTTGTCATGAATTTTTTTGAAGATATAACACTGTAAAATTGTAATTGAACCAAGATTATGACTGATAGCATTTATATCAATACATAGATTTCTAAGAACCTTACACAATTTTGGAATACATATTAATAACATCTCAGTATAACACAAAGGAGGTCAAGCATTATTTCTTCTTTTGACAATGCTTCCCATATAGTTTAATTTATCAAATAAGCCAATTGATTATGATACATCTCTTTCATATATATCCTTTGAGAAGCTGCAGGGCCCTTGTAACCTCTCAAAGTCAGTTCAAGGTAAAAGACTGAGCTTTCAGAATTTGGTTTTGGAAAGTTTGTCGAAAAACAAAGGCTGAAAACACCTAGTTAAATAAG